GTGTGTGTGTGTGTGTGTGTGTGTGTGTGTGTGTGTGTGTGTGTGTGTGTGTGTGTGTGTGTGTGTGTGTGTTGTGTGTGTGTGTGTGTGTGTGTGTGGTGTGTGTGTGTGTGTGATATATTTATGCCAGTACACATTTAAAATTTTCAAGAACACAGAAAAAAAAAACTGATTCGACATATCCACCAATCCTATCCGCCCCTCTCCCTCTCCCTCTCCCTCTCTCCCTCTCTCTCCCCTCTCTCTCTCCATGGGGAAAAATCTACAGCCTACCCCCATTTACATTGAACATCACCTCAACTCTACATTGGTTCAAGGAAGAGAGTTGAATGGTGAGACAGAAATAATGTGTTGTCATCAAGGCAGGTGGGTGAGCTTGGCTTGCTGGCATGAGGTAGTGTTGAAACAAACCTTCACCTCACACACACACACACACACACACACACACACACACACACACACACACACACACACACAGGTAAATATATTATTGCCATTAAATGAATCATAGTTGTGTCATCGTTGTGTATATTGAATTATGTATTTGTTTTTCTTGATGTTGTTGTTTAGTTGTTGTTGTTGTTGTGCTTATAACCAATTTTATGTTCCTGCCGACAACTACAGGGAAGGTTATTGTTTTTGTCTGTGTCTGTCTGTCTGTATTTCTCCTAAAGTATACAATCAAACACACTGAGGTACTTGTGAAATCATAAGAGGCGATACTGGTGACGAAGCAAGTGTGTCTATGTTAAAGGAAGATGTTAATTAATTCACACTAATAAGAGAATATCACCTGTAGTGCTAAGATTGGTTCTGACTCACTTAAACAGCTATGTGTAATCTGATGCTTCTGACAGCCACACTAAAAGCTATCTATTATTTTGCTTGGTCATCGAAATATCTATCAGAAATTTATGATAGTCACTGAAAGTCACCCTGACTGACTGACTTACTGGTAGAAGAATTTTCCCCATTTTTCTGAGGGATTGATGATTCATTGTATTTATGGATGAGTGGAGGGAGGTGTTGATGTGTGAGGTTAACACACACACACACACACACACACACACACACACACACACACACACACACACACACACACACACAAAAGCAGCATCATATAATCTGTGATCTTGGATAATCAATATTTAACTTTTTAAACTGTGAACAAACAATAGATTCCTAGTGAAGTTTGGCATCCGGATATTTACAAATTTGTGATGGGGAGGCGACTACCTCTCCCTCCCTCTTTATCTCTTTCCCCTCTTTCCCCTCCTGCCCTTTCCTCCACCTCTGTGTACTCCTTTTCTTTTTCCATCTCTTCGTGTTTGTTGTTTTCCTTCTCTACCCCAGCCTCTCTCTCTCTCTCTCTCTCTTCTCTCTCTCTCTCTCCCTCCAGCCTCTCTCTCTCTCTCTCCTTCCTCCTTTCCTCTCTCCTTCCCTTTTCCCTCTATCAGCCGGACTCTATTCCATAAGTTATCTTTCCCTTCCCACATCTCCCAGGGTACAATTGTCCTCTCCTCTCTCTCTCCACATAGTTTTATCATATAGGGTGTGTTGCTTCCTCTTTCCTCTCTTTCTCCCCTCACCTCGTTCTTAACACATCCTCTCTTCTCCCATCCCCCTCTATGATCTTTCGTACCTCGCTGTCCACTACCCTCCCCACCTTCCCTCCCCACGGCAACAGTCTCCCTTTCTCTAACACAACTTCCGACCGTGTAGGGGGTAGGTGCATGAATATTTCTCCCCTCCCTCTTCTCCCTCTCCCTCCTCCCCACACGATTACATGACCTACTTCGAAGTCACGACTCTCACGTATTGACCCAATAGGAAAACCCTGCCATCTAGGAGGGGGGGGGTGAGGGCGGTCAAATCACCAAGAGGTCATTTCAGCCTCAAGTTATATAAGGATGTCAGTTTCTCTCTCAGAGGTCAATCAACTAAAGGGGTTCACCACCTTCCACCCCCCGCTACCATCCTCCACCTCTGAGGAATTTTATGATAAACTTCCGTAGATGTGCCAGAGGTCTTCATGCTTAGTGCAAGTCCCCCTCCATGCTTGCCCGTCCCCCACGATGTTTGGGCTCCCACGAAGCTCTTGGTCCCCTTTTTCGACGCCCAAGGTCCACCTCGACGTCCCAGGTCCCCCTCTACGTCCTAGATCCTCCTCGACGTCCTAGGTCCCCCTCGACGCCCTGGGTCCCCTTCAACGTCCTAGGTCCCCCTCGATGCCTGAGTCCCCTCGACGTCCCTAAGTCCTCCTTGAGTCCTAGGTCCCTCGACGCCTTAGGTCCCCTCGACGTCCTAGGTCCCCCTCGACGTCCCGAGGCCCCTCGAAGTCCTAGGTCCTCCTCAAGTCCTAGGTCCTCCTCGAAGTCTAGGTCCCCTCGACGCCCTTGGTCTCTTCGACGTCCTAGGTCCCCTCGACGTCCTGGGTCCTCCTCGAAGTCCTGGGTCCTCCTCGAAGTCCTAGGTCCTCCTCGAGTCTAGGTCCCCTCGACGCCCTTGGTCTCTTCGACGTCCTAGGTCCCCCTCGACGTCCTAGGTCCTCCTCGGTCTAGGTCCTCGTAGTCCCAGGTCCTCCCGAAGTCCTAGGTCCCCTCGCGCCCTTGGTCTCCTCGACGTCAGGCCCCCTCGACGTCCCAGGTACCCCCTCGACGCCCTAGGTCCCCTCGATTTCCTAAATCCACATCGACGTCCTAGGTCCACATCGACGTCTAGGTCCTCATCGACGTCCTAGGTCCCCTCCAATGCAGGTCCCAACAACTCAGGTCCCCCTCGATGATCACCCTCCTCGACGCTTCACCCCCCTCGACGCCAGGTACCCCCACACCACAACGCCCTCCCTAGTCAACACCGGAAGCAGACTCCTTCACCCACCCCACCAGGAGGAGATTTCCGGTGTGCTGGCGTCGTTTACTGTCTCAACACTAAAAGTTTAAGCAGAGAATTTGGCGAGACAGTATGTTGATAATGAGGCCCAGCGATGCTGGTGACCTCCCCCCAACCCTGGCTATTGCTGCTTCTTGTTTTGATGCTGTTACTCACTGCTGTTACTCACTGCTGTTACTCACTGCTGTTACTTAGTGGTATTACAGGGGGAAGGAGGAATCACGTTATGTCACTGCTGTTATTGCTCTTATATAAATGGAGTCTGGTCACTGTAGCTGTCATATGTTGCTGTCTATGTCATGACCTACACAAGGATGTCTACATGTCTGTCTGTCTGTCTAAATGTTTGTTTGTATATGTGGCTATCTATCTACCTGGCTGTCTGTCTAAGTTGCTGTCTGTGTACCTAGCTGTCTGTCTCAATGGCTGTCTGTCTCAATGGCTGTCTGTCTGCCTGGTTGTCTATCTAAATGTCTGTCTACCTATTTGTCTCACAACTATCACCAACAACCACCACTACTACCACCGTCAACAACAACAGCCACCACTACCACCAACCACAACCACCAACAACCACCACCTACCAGCATCTCTCCCAAGGCTCACACAGTGCCAGATGCCTTGGCACCCTCACTACCAGTTTCTGAGAAAGTGCCAACGATGTGCCGGGGAGGGAGGGTGACGTGGAGTAGGGAGGGAGGGTAGGGAGGGTAGGGAGGGAGGGTAGGGAGGGAGGGAAGGTGGGGAGGGTAGGGAGGGTAGGGAGGGAGGGAGGGGTAGGGAGGGAGGTAGGAGATGGAGAATATGAGATGGGGAGGAAGGGAGGGATAGAGGAAGGAAGGGATAGAGGAAGGGGAGAGGTGATGTGGACAGATAGAGGGAAGTAGAGAAGGATGAAGAGGAAAAAATTCAAGAAACGACATGAAGGAAGGAGAAAGGAGGGAGGGAGGGAGGAGAAGTTAGCAAGAAGGGTTAAGGGAGCGGAGGGGAGACAAGAGGATGACGAGGAGGGAAAGAATGGAGAGAGAAAAAAGTGATGAGGTGGAGGGAGGAGGAGACGAATACGTGGAATAAACAAGGGAGATAAGGACGGTGTGGATGAGAGAGAGAGAGAGAGAGAGAGAGAGAGAGAGATAAACTCTAAATTTTACCTGGCCGGACCCACGCGTGTGTAATAGCCCAAGTAATGACGTCACACTGCCGCGTCACATGTAAACAAACGCGCCGAGTTGCCAAGTGGTATTAAACGTTGCCATATAAAGGGTAGCGGGGGACCGGCCTATCCTCCCTGAACACCAAGTTATGTTCCTTTTATGGTGACACACACACACACACACACACACACACACACACACACACACACACACGCACGCACGCACCACCACCACCACACACACACACACACACACACCAAAGTCCTTAGTTATGTAAATTAGTTTAGATACCTGACCTAGTTTTTGACAATTCGTGTACATTTGTCTGTTTCTGGTTGTGTGTGTGTGTGTATGTGTGTGTGTGTGTGTGTGTGTGTGTGTGTGTTTAAATTAGGTTAGGTTAAGTTAGGTTTGATAATTAGAATGTAAAGATAATTTATACCAGAAATATAATACACCAAATGTATATCCAGGTAACTTACACACAGACATAGGGACTAACATTAACTCATATGTAAATTGTGTAAGATGTGAATTGTGTAAGGTAGAGATCTATTCACCAACCAGACTATTGAGAAATATGTACCGTAAATATCACACTAATTTATACCAATCTGTAAATTATTGTGTATGTTGTGTAAATTGTTGTGTAAGCTGAGTAAATTGTTGTGTAAGTTGTGTAAATTATTGTGTAAGTTGTGTAAATTATTGTGTAAGTTTTGTAAATTATTGTGTAAGTTGTGTAAATTATTTTGTAAGTTGTGTTAATTATTTTGTAAGTTGTGTAAATTATTGTGTAAGTTGTGTAAATTATTGTGTAAGTTGTGTAAATTATTTTGAACGTTGTGTAAATTTGTAAAAGTTGTGTAAAAAATTTAAGTAATGTTAAGATGCAAAAAATGTGAGTAAATGAGTGACATACATTGGGACAAGTAAGTGAGTAATGCATAAGGTATGAGTGAGTAACATACATACAGACACACACACACACACACACCTAAACACACACACACACCCTAAACACACACACACACACACACACACACACACACACACACACACTCTCTCTCTTATAAACTGTTTGTATTAAGACGTCCTGTTTGAGAGCATGAGTCATCATCACCTGTGTTATGATGGGTGGTGACGTGGTGTGGGTGATGACGTGGTGTGGGTGGTGACGTGGTGTGGGTGGTGACGTGGTGTGGGTGGTGACGTGGTGTGTGGGTGGTGACAGTGGGCGATGACATAGTATTAAAAACATCACCATATTCTCATAACATCACTTTATCATCACCATTTCGCTCAGCATCATGACGTCACACACCCCCTTTAAGATGACGTCACTAACTTTTCATGACGTCACACACCCCCTTTAAGATGACGTCACTAACTTTTCATGACGTCACCACCTCACCCATGACGTCAGCAGTACACTCATAGGCCCCTCTTCTTCCCACAACAGATCCTCGGCTGTGGGAAGCTGACGACATCAAGTCTTGGCTCAAATGGATCACCAAAGAGTTCAAACTGAAGTCAGAAGTACAAGCCAAGGATCTCCCGGATACAGGTAAGGCTCCCGGTACACAGGTAAGGCTCCCGGTAGACAGGTAAGGCTCCCAGTATACAGGTAAGGTTCACAGTATACAGGTAAGGCTTCAGATTGACAGGTAAGGTTCCCAGTATACTCGCCAGGTATATCTTAAAGTCTGATAGATAAATAGATAGATAGTTTGATTAATAGACAGAAAGACAGGTATAGCAACACCCTGACTGTCTCCTGCACCGTCAGGTTGTGAGCTGTGTAGGCTGACGCGGCGGGGACTGCAGAGGGTGGCAGGTCGTCGGGGTGGTCGGGTCCTGGCGCAACACCTGGACATCTGCCTCCAGAGGTTCGGTTCCTCTCTGCCGACACACGACCCCGGCGACACCACGACCCTCGAATCCGACGACGAATCCGACGATGATGACGAAGATGATGAGGATGGTAAGTCGTCTTCGTCAGGTTAAAGTTGTGTTTGTGCAGGGATTCTTGATGATAAGGTTAGTCTTGTGTAAGATGGTGATTTAACCCTTTTATGACGATGGTTTAACAATTTGATGGTGATTTAACCCTTTGACGATGATGGTTTAACCCTTTGAGGACGAATATTCAACCCTTTGATGACAATGTTTTAACCCCCTGAGGAGATGATTTAACCCTTTGAAGACGATAATTTAACCCTTTGAGGACGATGATTCAACCCTTTGAGGACGATGATTCAACCCTCCCTCACTCACAAACTCACAACAGCCTCTCATACTCATCAAGGCATATGACACCTACGTCTTCCAGATATATGACTCACAATTATGAGCCAAACTCACAATGGTTCCTGTGAGTGTAACGTGACACATGGAGGGGGAACTACGACTCTGATTACTGTCAGGTTAGGTGTGTCATAAGTGTGTGTCATAAGTGTGTCATAAGTGGCATAGAGAGAGCCACAACAGCAACAACAACTACAATAACAACCACAACAACCATCACTACAACAACAAAACAAACGACAACCACCACCACAAACACCACCAATAACACCCACAACAACCACCACCACCACCACAACACCCCACCAGCTCTCATGAGAACACCTCCCTCGCCACTCCGTTTTCTCTCACACTTCTCTCTTCCTCGATTTTCTAATTTCTAAACAACGAGAGAGAAAGAGGGGTGACGGAGGGGGGTGACGGAGGGGGTGACGGAGGGGTGACGGGGTGACTCAATGTTACCCCCAAAAAAAATTCCCTTTGTATCCTAACCTAACCTAACCTGACCAAAACAAAACCTAACCTAACCTTGAGGACGAGGGTACGAAGTCGGTGGAGAGAGAGAGAGAGAGAGAGAGAGAGAGAGAGAGAGAGAGAGAGAGAGAGAGCAACACATTATACATCACACTGTTATCTTAAGTGAGGCTGGCAGTATTTCCCGAGGCCTCTCCACGAGATGTTACCAAGAACTTATTCTCCCATACTTCCTCACGCCTTTCCTTTATTGGATCTGATTGTGTCCCGTATTTATTGGTGTTGTGTCCTCCCCACGGTAGGGGAAGGAAGGGAGGTAGGGAGAGAGGGAGGGAGGAGGGAGGGGATAGGGAGAGAAGGGTGAGGCAGGGAGAGGGAGAGGATGGGTGAGGGAGGGAAGGAAGGAGGGAATCAAAGGTGGGGAGTGATAGAGGAAAGAAAGAAGGAAGAGAAGGAGAAATGGAGAGAAGGAATGAAGATATGGGAAGGAGGGAGGGAGGGAGGGAGGGAGGGAAGAAGGAATGCTCGGAAGGACAGTGTGGAGGGAAGGTGGGAGGGAGAGGTGGAGGGGTAACATAGAGGTGAAGGGAGGGACTAGGAAGGGGGTGGGAGGGGTTTATCTAGCAATTGTCTTATCGAACTTATGGAGTGCGGTGGTGAAGTGGATGCAGAACTCGACACCCATCCTAAAGGCCACTGGTTCGATCCTGTACAGAGAGTAGGATCTGTCTTCCCACCTTCCCGCACCCCCAATATCTACCTCCCTTTTCCCCTTTTACCCCCTTTGACTTCCCCTTTCTTGATTCCTTCACCTCCTTACCCCTCTCTTTCCCCCTCCCTCCCCTCCTCCCTCCTCTCCCCATCCAATAAATATCAACAGAAAAATGTCTCGAAGATTCTCCCAAATTTCTCTTTCTTTAACTTCTTCTTTTCTTTCTCTATCTCCCTCCTTCGTCTTCTCTCATTCATCCATTTTTTGGGGTCATTGTGTTTCTTCTTTTTAGTTTGTGTCTTTTGATTCTTCTTTATTCTTTTTGTTGTTGTTGTTCTTGTTTCCATTCGTTCCTTTGTCTTCTTTCTCCTACAACTTGTTTTCTCTCTCTCTCTCTTCCTTCTCCCCTCTCTCTTACTATCTCCTCCTTCTCTCTGTCTCTCTTCCCTTCTCCCCCTCTCTCTCACTATCTCCTCCTTCTCTCTGTCTCTCTCCCCTTCTCCCCCTCTCTCTCATTATCTCCTCCTTCTCTCTCTCTCTCTCTCCCCTTCTCCCCCTCTCTCATTATCTCCCCTCTCTCCTCTCTCTCTCTCACTATCTCCCCCTTCTCTCTCTCTCTATTCAATTCATTCAGTCTTCTCACCATCTCCTTATCTCTCTCTTGTTTTATCACTCTCTATTTCTCCTTCCTAATCTCCCTCTTTAATCTCTTTCCTCCTCCTCCTCTTCTCCTTCTCGTTTCCTACATCCTTTCTTCCTCCTCCTTTTCTTTCCTTCCTCCTCTCTTCCTCCTTCACCTCCCTTCACCCAACATGCCAAACTGTGTATGTGTGTATGCGTAAGTATATGTGTGTACATGTGTGTGTGTGGAGTGTGTGTGTGTGTGTGTGTGTGTATGCGTCCGTGAGTATTGGTCCATGTGTGTGTGTGTGTGTGTGTATGGTCCGTGAGTATAGTCATGTGTGTGTGTGCGTGGTATGGTCCGTGTGTGTGAGTGTGTGTGTGTGTACGTCCGTGAGTATATGTCCACGTGTGGGTGTGGAGTGTGGTGTGTGTGTGTGTGTGTGTGTGTATGCGTCCGTGAGTATATACGTCCATGTGTGTGTGTGTCCGTCCGTGTGTGGTGTGTAGTATGCGTCCATGTGTGTGTCCGTCCATGTGTGTGTGTGTGTCCCCAGGAGTATCTTAACTGGCAGTAGTGGGCAAAGTTTCAATGGGTTGTGTTTATCGTTTAATGGCCTAAGATGGTAATCACCTCAAGAGACCTGATGGTTCCTCTGTCCAATTTTTTTTTTCTCCCACCTTGACTCTCTCTCTCTCTTTCTCTCTTTCTCTTTTTTTTTTGTCTAGTTGTTTTTGTTATTTTGTTTTATTTTGTTGTTTCTTTTGTCTTTCTTTCGTTTTTCTTTTGTTATTTCTTCACTATGTTGTTGTTATTGTTATTATTTTGACAAACTTAACCTAAATCAAATCCACATCTATTAATGTCCCCGACTGACCCGACCCGATTAAGACTCGCGACCCGATCCGATTAACACCCGATACCCGACCCGATGAAGACCCGATACCCTACCCGATTAACACCCGACTCCTACATTCCGTGATAAAGGGAAATTGATTTTCAATTTTTGAGTCGGAATTCCTGTCTCGTCTTTTGGCAGGCGAGACGAGAGAGAGAGAGAGAGAGAGAGAGAGAGAGAGAGAGAGAGAGAGAGAGAGAATAATAAACAATAAAAAAACTATTAACTTACGACAACTGATTATTATTGACTGAGTAAACAACACTTCTTCTTCTTCTTCTTTTTCTTCTTCTTCCTCTTCTTCTTCTTCTTCTTCTTCTTTTTAATAGCAGTAATAGTCCTAATAATAACGGGATGATGGTGCTAGTAATGGCGTTAGTGTGGTGCGCTATTTATGGTGATATTATGGAAGAGGGGATGATGGGAGAGTGGTAATGAGAAGCGGGAGATATGGAAGAGGGAGAAGGAGGGTTAGGGGAGGGAAAGAAGGGAGAGAGAAGGAAGGGTGAGAGATAGAAATTGAGGACGAGAGAGAGAGAGAGAGACAGAGAGAGAGAGAGAGAGAGAGAGAGAGAGAGAGAGAGAAGATAGCATCATCCTCACACACTCACTGATTACTCTCAAAAGATTGATAGTTGAAGCTATCCCAGGAGGAGGAGGAGGAGGAGGAAGAAGAGGGGAGGAAAAGGGAGGGGAGGAGGAGGGGAGGAAGAGGAGGAGGAGGAGGGAGGAGGAGGAGGAGGAGGAGGAGGAGGAGGAAGAGGAGGAGGAGGAAGAGGAAGAGGAAGAGGAGGAGAAAGAGGAGGAAGAGGAGGAGAAAGAGGAAGAGGAGGAGGAGGAAGAGGAGGAGAAAGAGGAGGAAGAGGAGGAGGAAGGAGAAGAGGAGGAAGAAGAGGAGGAGGAGGAAGAGGAAGATGAGGAGGAGGAGGATGAAGCAAGAAGAGGAGGAGGAAGAAAGTAAAGAGGAGGAGGGGGAAGAGAAAGGAGAGTGAGAGAAAATAGGAGAGAATTTTGCTGAGACGGAGACAGACAGACAGACAGACAGACAGACAGACAGACAGACAGACGGACAGACAGACAGACACCTGAATAAACACGAAATAAGGAAAATAAACAGATCACAATGAATAACAAAAATGAAGATAAATAAAAAAAAAAACAGAATGAAACGGAACAGAAAAGAATTTGGGACGGAAAAGAAAGATGGGGTAATGGAAGAGAGGTAAAAAGGAAGAGGTTTAAAGGGCTAATTGAAGGGATAGGGAATGGTAAAGAAGGAATGGTTATACAGAGAGGCGTAGGATAGGTTTGTTTACATGAGGATCGTACCTGTCTTAAAGAATTATCGTATTTATTGCCGTGTTTCTCTCTCTCTCTCTGTCTCTCTCTCTTCCGTCTTTTCTTGCTGTTTTAAATTTTCTTTCAATGTATTTTACTTTCTTCATTTACTTCTTCTTTGCATTCCTGTTTCTTTCCTATTTCCTTCCTCCTCTCTTCATTTCTCTCCTATTCCTTCCTTCCTTCCTTCCTTCATTCCTTCCTTCCTTCCTTCCTTCCTTCCTCCCCCTTACTTCCTTCCTTCTACTCCTTAACTTCTTCCTTCCTCCTCCTCCTCCTCTGATCCCCCCTACCCAGGGGTCACATGAAAAAAGAGATCGTTATGCTTATATGTAAGTGTGTGTGTGAGTGTGTGTGTGTGTGTACGTGTGTGTGTGTGTGTGTGTGTGTGTGTACGTGTGTGTATGTGTATCATTTAAACCAAATAAAAAACAGGTATCTGGGAAAAAGAGGTGGGGGGTGGGGGAGGGTGGTGGAGTGGGCAGGATGGGCAGGCTGGGTGGGGTGGGTGGGTGATGGTACAGGTCAAATCCAGGAGCTGTGGCAGGATCAAGCAAGAGTGGGGGTTGGGGTGGTCTGGGTGGGAGTGGGTGGGGGTGGGTGGGTTTAGATGGGGTGGTGGGGAGAGGGGAG